CAGCAGGAGGTTGATGTGTGAACTCTGGGAATCCATCGGCACCCCGCGCGTTATTGTTGCCAGGACACTTTTCTCGCGTCCTCGGGTTTGCGTAAATGTTCAAGGAATGGAAAGTATTCTGGTGGAATTATAAACTCGGGGTCAAACGGGACAGAAGCAGATAAAGTCGGAGGTTTTGGATTCCGCGGCTTGGTTTATATGAACCTGTTCTCCGGATCTGCGGACGCGCTGCGCTGCGGTGGAAACTCGGGGTCCATGTGGCGCTTCTGGATCACGCATCAGCGGACGACGGTTCGGTTCCAAATCATGTGGCTGCTCGTGTGCTCCCTCATCGCGGCGTTGAGCGGTGAGAATTACGCCACACAGGCCCAGGTGATGTCCTCCAAAGCGCTGAGGGCTTCAAACGCACGCAGCAATGGTGAGTTTGGAAGATACGGTGACCCCAAAAGTAATTTAGGACACTTAGAAATGCCAAAGCGAGTGTAATCTGAGCTCAAATGCTTCCTTTTTCATCCTGGTTGAAGTCTCGCTGTCGTATTAATCAACTTTTTAGTGCATGTATGAAGTCTCAAGTTCACACAGGTGTTGTAGCTAGCAGGTGTAGAAGTTCATCACATTAACTATCGACATGCTCGAGTACCAAGATAACAATATGTGGTCTAAGAACGTTTGGCTAACGTTACCTTTAAGGTATGAACACTTTGTTCCTGAATGTTCTCTCTGGAAAAAGTCGTATTTGAAATGTTTTAAAACCTTTTTTGTTTGTTTATGCAAAAGTCAAAATTTTCAAACATAATGGGAATGTTACTTGTTTTAAACATTTTGAACGATTAATGTTTTGTTTTTTTAAATCTCGGTTGTGCGAGCTTTAAGTGAACGTTCCATTTGATCATTTTGCAAACATTATGAGAATGTTTTAGAATGATCAGTGAACATTCAAAAGTAACAAGTAGCAACGCTTAAATAATGTTAGATGAACGTTCAACTAAAATGCTTCAGAAAAAACATTCCATGAATGATGTATTGTTTTAAACATTGTTTTTAATGATGCATGTTTAAAACCTTTTTTTTCTTGGTTGTGCGAACGTAAAGGGAACATTCCATTGTATCATTTTGAAAGTAATGGGAATGTTCTTTGAACATTCTGAAACAATTAGTAACATTTGGCAAACGTTACATAAACATTAAACTAAAATATTTAGGACAAAATCATTCCAGGTACAGACGTTTTTGTGCTAATGTTATGAGAACATTATTAAAGAACAGCTAATATTGAACAAACATTCTGTTAACGTTTGCTCATAACTCTGAGAGAACCTTGACAGAACGTAAAGCAAGTTCTGACCATTTCCATGTTAGCTGCATGTTTAAGCACAAACAAGCACAATGTGGCTTTTTGCATTCATTGCAGTCAACACCAGAACTATTATTTTATATTTCAAACCATGCAAAACTGTTTGCTGAGTGCTTTGCTTGTAAAAGTGCTTGTGCTGTCTGTGTTTACAATAAATGTCACTTGTATTTTATTATCTAATGCAGTGACATTTAGACATTTTCTAGTGTCTGCTGAAATACTTTGACGGCAGTTACTTAAAATTCATTGCCAAATACTTCAGACGAGTGCCATTAGTTGAGCTCAGAACTATGCTTTGATATTTTGTGATCACAATGAATGACATTCAGACATTTTGAAGTGCTGCAGATGCTTTCTGTGGTCACTGTGGATGTGAACGGGCATGAATGTTCCTCAGTTTTGGCTGATGTTGTGATCAGCTGAAGCGTGTTATGACAGGTCTGCAGCTCTCTGATCATCTCCGCTCATGTCACATGCCTGATTTCAACAGCGCTGAGTTACTGTGGTTGGAGGATCTTTAACCTGTTCCTGTGTACTCCTGTAGCTCAAACAGTAGAGTTTGATGATAGCAGCACAGGGTCATGGGTTCGATTCCCAGGGAATGCATAAACTGATGAAAAGCTTGAATGCACTGTAAACATTGCTTTTTAAGATTTGATGTGATGAAAAGCTTGAATTTTTTGGGACCTTTGAGGTCATCTCTCTCTCTCTCTCTCTCTCTGTGTGTGTGTGTGTGTGTGTGTTCTCCAACAGGTGTCAGACACCTGTAATTAATGTTAAAATATTCACTGCAATATTAGGTTTGTTGACCAATAATACCATGGATTTTTCCAACATTATGATCTTTACTATTTGGAATATTTGGCGTTTTAAATTTATTTAGTTTTTTTTTTAATCTATTTTGAATAATTTATGGTTCATTTAAATAGTCTTGCAATGCATAATTTGTAGTTTGTACTTTTGAATATTTTACTTGTCGCACTGCAGGACTATTTAAATGAACCATAAATTATTCAAAATAGATTATATGTGGTATCTGAATCAGTTTTATTTTAGTAACACAAGATTTACAACAATCTAGTCACAATTTAGTGATTTTGTTGTGTTTTAAATGTCTACAGTTTTTTTTTTTTTTTTTTTTTTATTTTATTTTTTTGAGAAATGTTGCTTTGGCAACTAGCTAAAATAATGTTTTTTTTGTTTGTTCCCCCCCCCGTAACTTTTTTTTCAAGTAACCCTGCTCTCAATCAATGAGACCTTAAAAATTGCATGCAGTCGGGCTATTTTACCATTGAGATTTTTTTTTTATATTTTCTGTTTTCATTTTAATTTCAGTTAATTTTAATGATTTTGTTGTGTTTGACATTTTTACCTTAAAATTACATGCATAATTCTTTGCATGAATAAAAAATTGAAAGAATTAGGAAATCGTTTAAATAGTTGTACTTGAAACAATTCACAACAATTGGTGTCTCAGCTACCCTTGCACAGGTGTGTGTATGTGTGTGTGTGTGTGATGTGGCTGTTGTGTTTGAGCATCTGTGACAGAACTGTTGAGCTGTGGACGATGAGTGTGTGTGTGAGTGTGTGTGTGTGTGTGTGTGGGGGTGTGGGTGTGTGATGTGGCTGTTGTGTTTGAGCATCTGTGATAGAACTGTTGAGCTGTGGACGATGAGTGTGTGTGTGTCTGTGTGTGTGTCTGTGTCTGTGGTAAAACAGCTGAAATATAGTTATTTTAGGACAGTGAGTGACAGGGTGTCCCGGTTCACACCCAGCCATCAGTGATGAGGAATCTGGTATGGGATTCCCCACCAAACACCCACCCACTTCTTGAATTGTGGAAGGAATTATTGTTCCTGTTGCATTGTGTGTGTGTGTGTGTGTGTTTTGCAGGTGGTCTGATTTTGTAGTAAATGTTTTGTAGTAGGTTGAGTATATGAACAAAAAAAAAGTCTTTAACTTAAATGTTTAAAGGTGTTTCTGTTTAGTCGTGTGTGTGTGTGTGTGTGCGCGCGGTGGCCTGTTTTCTGTCATTTTTACATGCAGACAGGAGGATGCGTCTTTACTCAGCATATTTTTGTCTGTATCTCACACAGCTGTCTGCTAGTGCACATTCTTTCATCGTTTCGAACAGAAAACACATCAGGCTCTAGTTATTCACTGTGCGTGTGTGGTAGTGTGTGTGTGTGTGTCTGTGTGTGTGTGTGTGTGTGTGTGTGTGTGTGGTGGAGGAGTCCATGACTGTAAAAATAGTTATAAACCTTGACAGACAAAATGACAGAGCCCTCAGTCGCAGATCTGTGTGATTAAGTCGTTTGATCTTGATGTGTGTGTGTGTGTCTCAGGGTGGGCATGTTTCAGTGTTTCATCTCCATTAGCTCAGTGTTTCCCTCATGAAATCAGACATCTGTGAGCTGCATGTCTGTATGACGACACACATCTCTTATTCCCTTTATATCTGTGATTTTACAGCATGCAAACAACTTATTCTAGAAACAATGTTGTTGAAAGTACTTAAGTTAATTAGAGAAAAATAGATCAAATGCTCTAAGCACTGCAGAATTTGATTGCCTGTCATTCACAATGTTCTGCAAATTCCCATTTTCCCTATATATTCCCAGCTGTCTGCTTCAGCACTTTATTTGACAAAAAAATTGTGTTTTTAAAGATACATTTATATTAAGTCTTAAAAAGGCAGAAGCCAGAGAAATTCAAAAGAATTTGTAAAAACATAATACAGATTTAATGTGGCCGTATTGTTGTTAAAATTGTTAAATTATTAATTAACTTATTGGTTTACCAATGTTTTTTTTTAAAGATAAATTTGTTTTACACCATAAAACACAGAATCTACAAAACAAAAACAAAAATACTGCTGATAATCTAATCTAATCTAATCTAATCTAATCATATAAATAAAAATTATTAAATTGGTAAAGTTTTCACTTTATTTTTTTAACCACAGGTTTTGGCGATATATTTGTTTAAAACCATTAAGTACATAACCTTAAATATAAATAAATAAATATGAAAGAATTGACTCTGTAAAAAAAAATATTAAATTGGTAAAGTTTTTAATTCACAGTTTTTAGTGATAAAATTATATAAAATATCAAATAGAGAATCTAGAAAAATTGAATTTCTTGAAAAATATAATGGAATTTGTAAAAAATAAATAAATAAAACAATTGTTCCGTAATATTGTTACAGCTGTATTAAATGATTAAAGTTTTATAAATTCACAGAAATAAAAAAAAATAGTTTTTGTTCATATACAGTACAGTACATTAAGAAAAAACAGCGTTGCAACAGAAAACATAATTTGGGAAAAAGTAAAAATGAAATTTGGGAAAAAATAAAACCGTTTTTATTTGTCCAAGTTATAGCATGTGTTGCTAGCAAGGAGAAATGGCAGTTTCTCAGCTGTTTTTAATAAGTCAAATGCCATGTGAGTAGAACACAAGGGGTGGAGGTGAATGTGGGATCCAGCGTGTGTTAATAAGAGCTGGCTGGAGTGTTGAAGGCTTGGCTTTCATGACGCTGCAGTGGAGCACTAATTGATTTACTTTCTCACGAGTGATGCCCTGATTGTGTGTGTGTGTGTGTGTGTGTGTGTGTGTGTGTGTGTGTATGTTGTCAACGCTCTCCTCATATTAAGAAGAATCTGATCAGGGATACAAAAATAATGAAATGCACACAGAAACGCTTGAACATGTGTTCTGTGCACTGGAGGCTTGTTTCCTGTGAGTTTTTATTTTTGCAGTAATATGTTTGTATTATTCAACATCAACGCCTTGTAAGGAATATAAACAGCCACTTAAATGCTTTCCTTTCCCAAATTCTCCCAGGAACACGGCGGTTTGTGTTTGCCATAATATAATTAATGCAGAAATCATGCTGCAAAGTGATTCAAAGTCAATCAATAAGAGCATATTGTTTATGTTAGATTACAGTAGCTCAAACAGTACAATATTATTCCAGTAGCAAACTCGGTACAATCAAATAGGTTATTTAAAAAAGTAAACAGGCTTCTGAACAGCAACATAATTATGTGCTTGAAATCA